AATTGCGGGTTATCTAGATAACTAAATTATTTTTGTCACTGTACGGAAAGTCGGGTTTGATTAAACTGTTATACTATACAGTAGTTTGTTTAAGTAGCAGTAGAGCTCCTTGTGAAAGAGTTCATCTAGGGAAGTACTGCCACCTTACCTATTTCTGCTACCAAGCAGTAATGTGAGCATTACTGCGTTCCGATTTTGAAGGGTAAGGGTGCTGGTGAAATTACGGGCACATGGGACTTTTCAACTTATGTCACAGGGTGATGGGCGCAGAGGCAGTGCACCTCGGATGTTTGCGATTTAAAGCTCTGAGTGGCACTGCAACTGTTATGGACAAGCGTGTCGTTTACCATCAGCACACGATTAGTTCGTCTCACCACTTAGTATCATAAAAAAAGTTTTCTGCTGTAATTATAGTTATCTGGCTAAGGACCACTATGTACATAGTGGTCCTTCGTACCGGGTCCAAACAATGTAAGATTGTTTGTGATAGATTACAACTCTATGCTTTCCCTTACCACTTTAATCTATTGCCAGCTAGCTCTAATTACAACATAAGATGACCATATAGTAACAGTTTATTCAAACTCCACACGTTGTACAGATACAAATTTGCCTAGACACGGGTTCTGGGTCCCAAAAGTACCAATTTCTTTTCGTCTCAATAAATACGTTTTGTATAGTTTACTTGGAATGTAATTGTTTTTAATCGTTTTGTATAATCGGTTTTATTACTTCAGTAGTCGAATGATTTCCACTATGGGCGCTGGATCTAGAGGTCCCGGGTTCGATTCCCGGCAGGATCGATTTGGGAAATATACTTTCTGAATTGGTTTTAGTCTGAATGTCTCAGTACTCTGGAGTGAATTCCGTTGCTCTGGTACCCATGGTACAGGGCATTTCCTAGTTTGAAACCAGGCAATTGGTGTGGCTTAAAAATAAATTGAATTTGTTTATTTCATGCATACAGTAGTTAGTAATATTTTCACTTAGAGTAGGTTACTAGTACATATCGTAACACTAAAACAAAACCTATTTACATTAGGATTGGGCAATGAAATCTGACTGCAACCATTTTTATGATATCCCGAGTTCCCGCTTGGAAACTATTTGTGTGCGCTTCGGAAAACATTCCTGACGCAGTGCTCCATCTCGGCAGATCTAAGACTATCCTGAAAATGTTATTATATTGTACAAGTAGGGCGTTATAAACTCGCTGGCCGCTCGAATAAAATTATTGACTGTAGGCTTTGAATCTCTCTCTATCTATCTATAGTCCCTATCTACTGACCCGAGAGACAGGGTTTTCTGGAGAGACTACGGGCTCGACGGCAAGACCAGGGTACAGCGGGCATCCGGGCCAAGCCCTCCGCCAGTGATACGCCTTTGCTGGCGTCTCTGGCGGACTCGGATTTGGGTATGGACTCGCTGGGGTTTGTGGTTAGCTACAGAGACGGACATGTTTGTGTACCCCGGTTGCATGTATCTGGGGCGTCTGTCTCGTCAGCAGCTAGCGCGTCTTAGTAGCGGTCTAGTAGAGGGCTTGAAATGAGGAGACGCGCGAGGTACGTAAGTTGCCCTTTAAGTTGGAAGTTACGTCCAGACATTATTGCAGGACACTGCGACTGGCATCTCCGGCACTAGCCCGGATAGCAGAGGATAAGCTAGATATTCTCCGATCCCTCCAGCCGCTTAGGTTATTGGGAACTCGAGAGACGTCGTTTTTTCGGCGTCGGGAAGTGAGCGTGCCTTACAGCTCCGCCACTAATGAGGAGATTTGCTAGTGGACTCAGAGTCGACGGCTTAGCGGTGGCAATCGTTAGTTGTGCAATGCGCAACGGGAAGTAAGCGTACCTATAGCTTTTAGCACCCGGGGCGGTTCACGCGAGGCACTAGCCTCTCAAAGAACCGGATGAAATGAAGTGACAGAGGTCACTGACAGAGGTGGACAACCCTGTACACTGGCTAATCTGGGATCAGAACCTAAACTTATAAGGTTCCTGTGCGCGCACAGGTTAAAGTGCCCTTGTTGTATACCCTCAGGGTCGATAGGGAGGATCACTATAATCAAAACTAACGTAAAGATATGGGAGCTGTAGGCTTTGAATAGAGCAATTTTGAATATCTCTGTCATTGTCTCATATTATACGCCACGATAACGCCCTACGCTCTCTTTATACATTTTGCTCATTACATAGATAATCAGTGAGTATGTGACCAACATATTTAAATTAGTATACAATTTAAGTACAACTCCGCCAAGGGTGACGGGAAGTATGAAATACGACCTTATTTGATTTTATGACACTAATGCTGTAAATGCATTTTATTTAGTTCTGGACTCTGTCTTCTATTGTGGAAAATATAAATGGATATTTCGAGATACATGGAGACTTTTACTGAATACAAAGGCAAATCCCTCGGGTGAGGTTGAGACGCTTATCCTCTGAACTAGTTTTCTCCCGACCATGGAAACTAAATTTTTTATATTCATACTATACTTGCAGTTATATTAGAATTTTAATGCCTCTGTGGCCGAACGGTTACCATTCTGGTCTGCCACGCAGAGGTCCCGGGTTCGATTCCCGGGCCGAGAGAAATATTTGTAAAGCCTATATTTATTTCTTTCGTGACTTTGGGCATAATTTATGGTTTGGGTGTGTATGTGTGTGACCATGGCACCCGCGACACAAAGTTTCTCTAGTGCACGGCTTTGAGTGTGTGCGTTATTTATTTATTATTATTTAATTTAATTTTGAATTTAAGCATATGAAGGTATCATTAAAAGCTTTCCTTAAATATATGTAATACGATGCAACATTATAATACTATGACAATTGAAATGGTGTATCCCAAAAGAAAAAAAATCTGAAATCCAATTTAAAATTTTTTTGGTTTATTTTTTATCTAAAATCGCGTGTTTTTTTTTTTTAAAGGTTAGGGCTTTTTAAAGGTGCCAATGTCACGGCTAACAGATACGAGATATAGTATGTATTTTATGCAATCGTTGCATAATGAGGGTTCTTAAAGTTGGGCACCGTGTCAATCAAATAGTACGAGATTTTAAGACCTAATTATGTGATGATTGCATACAATACAGCTTTTTTTACGAGTAAATGAAATATTGAAACAACTAACTCAAACGAAAGCCACAGCACGCTACAGAACAAAAAGCAATAGAAGTGATTAAGTATGGCTCATATTTTAACCAGTATTTTTTTATAAAGGTTTAGGCCAAATTAACCAATCAGGTGGCAGTAAACTATTTGAGTAGCGTCATATTTGATATTTTTCATCACACTTGGTCGTAAGCAGTGTGACTTGTTGGCAAAGTCGACCGCAATGTCCTAAATTAGGCCCACGGGCTTTTTCATTATATGGATTTTTTACGTCAAGATTAAGCAAAAAGTTTTTATGCTCGAAATATCTGAACGCACCTTTGCATAAACTTGAAGTATTAAAAAAATTAAACATTGAAACACTGAATTTATTTTGTGAATTGAAATTCTTCAGTATTTATGTAACTTGGAAATTATTTATTTTATATCTAGTACACTGTGTCGTCTATGGCTTTTATAACATTTTAGTTTAGCTGGCAATCTGTTTAAAACAAAAAACCCGCTAATAGCAAAATCCGCAAACGTTATGTTGTGAAGCGATTATTCATACAAGAAATAAATTATATCGTTGTATATATTTCCTCGCAAATGTGGTGAAAAACATTTTATGTAGCACAGGCGGTAAAAATTACACATCTCGAATAATTAAAGCCCTCAGCCTTCGGCTTCGGACTTTTAACGAACTCTCGTTAGTAATTTCTTATTTGCCGCCCTTACAACAATGACAATAGAATTATGATTCAGAACTAAAAAGAACGTTTTTGTGATATGGTTTATGAAATTATAATTCATAGATTAATGTACAGGAGTAGAAAAAAATATTTTTGTTTTCTATATGTGTAGCAATCGCGAAAACAACTCACATTTATACAAATCAGACCAATTAGTCCAAAATGATGGATACATATTTTTTTTTAAAGATCAGCTATTTCTAGCTAATAATCAAGGAAATGGCTATTCGCTACTATCATCGAACTGCAAGAAACCAACATTCCTATAAAATAGAAATTCAAGAACAAGAGCTTCAGATCATTTCAATCTCTTTGTCGTAGAACCTTTGGGACGTGTTATAAATTTTCCAAGTCCTACTCATTCGTTGTATTATCGACTTTCGAAACCATATGGGTTGCCGAAAAGCCGCGGTAATCTCCGTATGATCCCTGCGGAGACCACGAGAAATTTATCTCTATACAAGTCAAAACACAAAATTTTGCAACACCAATCTTTTCCCGATTATATTTTCCGTTCCTTTTTTAGGACTTTTGTGTTTAAGAGTATTAACCACGTTGGCAATTTCTTTATGTATCAAAGATATTATCTTGGATTTATACTGGGTATTGTTTCGTTTTACTAAATGATATCCGCTATAAAGGTTTTTCTAGTGTAATAAAGATACTATTTATTAACTGCGGACAAACGTGATTCTTCGTATGATTTGACTAGATGAAACAACAAAAAATTTAAAGCCCATCGTACTATTGATTGTATTTTCTAATCTCTTATTACCGTATTATTACGGCTACTCTCTTGAAAAGGTTTATCAGTAACATACATATCGTTAATGTCAGAGTCAATGTGTATTTTGTATTTAAAATCAAATCTAAATGTCCATCACAATGTAAGTTAATGGCAAATAATGAAGTTAAATAACCTGGCTCCCTAAGGAAATTATTCAACCCTTCTATTATATTTTAGGACTGTATATTATGACCCATTTCCCTTGATAGTATATTGTTTTCAATCATATTTTTATTACGGCTTTCGTCACAAGCGGAGCTTTAGTTTGTAGCTGAAATACAAAGTTTACAGAGCATAAATCTAAACCTACACACTGTATGTTTTCCCTAATAGTAGGTTTCGGCTTGTTTCAGATAAATCGATACGATGTCGGCCCCAACTACAGACAGCACTGAAGCAATTACTAATTCAGGATACGGCAGCAGTGACGAAACAGCCAGTTTACTTGTTTCCGGACCCTCAGTAACAGTAATTGTTCCAGCAGAAAATAGAACGGTAAAGCCTGTACTGCAAAGACAAGACTGCACTACTCATTTAAGACCTCAATTGTCTGGCGGTGCTGGTAGCGAAGAAAGCGGAGCATCTATAAGAATTGAAGATGGAACAATAGCAAGAAGTGTACCAGATATAGAATTGCAGTGTAGAGATCAACCAGCTGACCGCCCACAGACACTGGTATCTCCTGTGGCCACCTGTTCCCACAGAGGGTCAGTGACCGCATGCCAGTTAGTTCCGCATTCGTACACTAGATGTCGAGTCTGCGAAAGACGGCAGTCGACAGCCCCCATATCGGCACTACAACTAGCGCGATCTGTGTCAAGAGAGAGTGTACGATCGGCAGTGCACTACCCTTGCGGGTGCAGCTCGCTCCACGCGGTGAGCACCTGCCCTGCTATACAACCTCCGGCCTTATTACTTCCAACTTCAAGCACTAGAATTATTCGGCAAAGCTCGCAACCGGAGTCGAGCGCATGCGCGGCACACTGCCCTCACCACGCCCACCATCACCCTAGCGCCTCACTGCGTCAACTCAGAGAACCTGGAGATGGAATCGCCGGCATCGCTGCGGACACTATGCGGATCAACGGTGGCATGCGCCCCTTCAAACAGGTAATTTACATAACTGGTAGGTGGCGCCACTATATAGAAGTCGCTTTCAACGTCGTAAGTAAAAATCAATGTTGCTCCCGCTATAATTAGAATTAGAAGTTCATTTTTTATTTACTCATGACATCGAATGGCATTCGATATATGAAAGAAAATACGGTATTATGTAATCGACTTACAACAGGGTCGAATGGAAGCGACAAATATTCTCTAGGTTAAGCTAATTATATTTACACAATTATCTGGATTCAAAATAATAACTCGGGTGATAAACTAATTTAAAGCTTCGGTTAGAAAATGTAATCTGAGTAAGAATGATGACAAAAGAAATTGGGCTAAAAATATTCCAGCGGTTGTTTGTTTAAAAAAATGGCTGCACAAACTGTTTGACAGCGCTCTGGAAAAAGTGTGCCTAATTAAGACGCTAAGTGAATTGTTCAATAAAAACAGCTGTGCAATTTTAGGACGCGTTTAAATGATTCATTTAAAAGTCTTGTCACTCGGAAAAAAGTGCGTGCCAATTTTGTACATTAGCGATTTTTTTTCATGAAATTAAGCCGTTGTCATAAAAATATGTACAATACCACCTCGTAGGCTCATTTTATTTTAGAGTTTTGTTTTTTCACCTAAATTTAACAAAAATGTTTCTGATCGTTAGGAAATTAAACCATTTCTGCGGCAGTAAGGAAGCGCAAGTGCACTTCCAACTTATGGCAATTTACATTGTTTTTACTGCACTTGCGTGTTCCAGCGTATCGTTTTGCGTCACTGCAATTTCGTTCCCTACGGTTGAGATAGACCTTTTGATTGTTTAGACCTTCTGTCAGCGTGTGGATATAATTTGTAAATACGTAGACACATCTAGTATTAGTGTATATTAGAATTATTCATGTGTTGAAAAAGTTTTATAATCGTGCATTTATGTGCCCATAAACAACCAGTGCTCTAGAAGCAGTTTCAGAAAAAATCATAAGCAGTATCACTAACATTTATTGGTAACTACGATAACATTGCATTTTGCAGTTGGCGTGTAAGTGCTGTGTAAGGGTCTTGAGACGGGTTCTCATTTTCTTCTCCTGTCCTCGAAAAGGTCCTTGGAAAGAAGGTTTTTGAATGTGTGTTTTACCTACAGGGGCTGCTCCTCTGTCCACAAACACTGTCGCAGACCCGCCGGGCGAGACTGAGACGTGCATTCACGGAAGCCACTGGAGATACAGTTCACTACGTTAGAACGGTGGGCTTCAAATTATTGGATTATGCACCGCCAAATACTGCCGTCGACTGTACAATCTACGGATCTTATAATTGACATCTGAAAGCGCTTATTCGCAAATCGAGTTTAGCTTACCATGTTAAATTTGAAACTGACCTGGATTCAGTAGTGAATACTAGAAATATTGATGTTGAATAATGGATAAAACCAATTAAAAAATTTTCAAAAAAAATTTGGGTATTATATAAAGTTCGAAATGATATAGAGTTTTTAATTTATGTTTTTTAACTCTATGGTATTTCTGGGAAGTTTTTTTGTTTTATAAATCCGCAAGTAATAGAAAATTAATCAGATGCGGTGATATTTCTAGTAAATTAAAACTTCATTATTATTAAATAAATTTTAATTATTTTTAGAAATATCTCCTTAGCTTGCTGGTAATTTCAGCCAACTAGAAATTTGGCTAAGATTTCATTAATTTAATTTACTGAGCGCCCTAGTTTTGGATTCCTTAGGAAAGCCTTCGTGTTAGTTGTACAGTCGAGCAGAGATGTTAGTGAAATTATCACGAGAGTAATTTGTTAGTTGGCGAATGTGTCGTCCCCATAGCTTCGTCTAATGACCACAGTTAGCCTCCCCTCCACCGCCCCCGGCATCTTCCCCGCACGGAAATCGCTTCTCACGAACAAATCGTTTTCTGCATCACTTCGTTCGAGCAAAAATTGTCATCATATATCACTGAGCACTTATTGGTAACAGCAAATTGGCTTTCAATATCGAGTTTCTTATCAGTGTTGTGGCAGGTACGTTTACGACGTCATCACTTACTATTTTGACTTTGACATCTTCATTTGCAAGTGCATCACTTTCAAGATTTCAGGTATTGAAAATAGAAAACGTTTTGTCATCGCTTTGGGGACCCATTACTCAAGCAAATACACAGCACCTACACAACCATTAGCCATCCGCTCATTCACAGTTGATGGGTATAGCGCTATGCACTTTAGCTCGATGACTAGTTTGCACTGAAAAAATATCGCTTTCCATTTAGATGATATTTTCTTTTGTAGAGTAATTACTAAGCAATAGCTTACCAAAACTAATGAGTGAATTTTCAACTTTAAGGTCAGAGGAAGAACGTTTACGAAATTTAGCTTTTTGAGTTAGACGAACTAGTATCTTACTCGATCGTAAATAGGCTGGTTTGGTGGCCATCGGCAATTATTCCTATAATAAAATCACCTACCTTGTCCCTCACTGTTAATAGAATACATACCCACGCGTGCGTGAAAGCTTTACCTTTCACAACAGATTTTACCCTTTCAAATCGAATTTGCTCTTCGAGAAGAGGTCTCTTAATCTCTATTAAAGTCGAGAGAATATACCAGAGTAAGCGTCCGTGTTATTGAAGATTATTCTGCATCGCAACCTCTAATCATTTATTTATCATAAAATATATGTAAAAGTATATTTTTGTAAGATCATATTTTGTTATCGTTTCTTTGTTTAACTTAATGAACTTTAACATAAGGTACATAAATTAGTATTACGTTTGTCAGCAAATAAATTCTAACTAAAAGTTCTAAGTTGATTATGGAGCTTGCTCTAGCCTGTGTAATCGGCAATGTAATAATGAAAGGCAATTACGATATTCCTGGCGGTAGGCCAAATAAACAAGTCATTTTTGTAAGCCTTATTACTTAGCTGAGTTGATATAAATACCTCAAAAAAATTGACATCACAAAATTTGTGCCCATTTTTTTAGGTGGGTAAAAGCTTTACTAAAATTTATTGTAGACTAATGTATAAAGCAGGGTGTCTTAATATGATTTGCTACTGAGATTTTCTTACGCATTTGTAATAACAGCGCAACAACTTAAGTACCTTTGACCTTGCCTTTAGTTTATTACTAGGCGACATATTCACGAATTTCCTTTTCTTCTACATTATTTTCGTTAAGTAGGTAAGAAAACACCCAGCCTTATATTTTCCCTTAATGGACGGAGCTTTGTTTTTCGTGGATACGGGTATAAGTGAACTGGTTCAAGTTTCAACGGATTTCTTTAGTTGGAACAACATTGAGTGGCGCCAAATATTACTGATACATTTATTGATGTTTTTATAAACTCTGTTTATGCTTCATTAGGTTTTGTATAACACTTTTTTTATAGCAATTTTTAGGGATTATCTGAGGATTGCATCCTTCTTCTTAATGCATCGATGGCATAAACTATGATGCTTACTGCAACGTGGTGACAGGATTTACCAGTCCGTGTAGGGTACCTCCTTTCGTGCACCTCATAGCGTTAAATCGATAATTTGTATGGGTGATAGAGGATAACACATTTGCATCTTTACCTTACATCTTCTTATCTTATATCTCCAAAATCCGTATACTATTTTCGCCTGTTTAAGCAAGACAGAAATTCAATGAAAAAACAAAATAATGATCTTCTTATTTACGATGAAACCAGTTTACAAGTTAATAAAGTGTTATTCGTTAAACTTAACTATAACAATGAATATACTCATTGGAAAACGGGGTTAAATGCATGTAAAAATATGCACAAATGCGAATGAAAAGTGGTAGATTCAGAGTCTGCACGTAGCTATAAGCTATAACCTTTAATGTTCGTTCGAAAAATTCGCTTGCATTTTGAATACCGGTGGATAAAATAAAAAAAATATCACAATTCTGATTTAGATTCCTTTACTTTGCATTTTAGTTCAAAAGTTTATTCTATTCTTATTCTATTCTATTAGTAGATTGAATGACAAAATGACAATAATATTTTACATCATAAACCTTCAGTAATAAAAACAAAACTTTTAAATTATTCCCGACAATAGAAATTTATTTAGTTTAGATAATTTATTTATTATTTTAATTATTGAGTACACTGAACACTTCTGAGAAATTTTCATAGTATTTTACGCTTTAACTTCTAACTACTTTGTATATTCACTGCATTAAGAAACAAAACATATATAAATATGACAAGCATTTAAATACCTATCGATTACCACAAGAATCATATGAATATAATGAGTAACTATTTTTAAAATAAATTAATAACAGTCGCGGGTAGCGACGAAAATCGCGAAAATTTGCGAAAATGGCGTAAAAAAAACTATAAGTCGTGAGGAAGAAAATTGACGAATCCTATCACAACTCACAATATAACGACCTAAAAAAGGTTTTAATAGAACCTCTATTGAATAAAGTTATGTGTTTATGCCATATTTTACTCCAAAAAGTATTTTAATAATGAATAAACTTTTTTCAAAAAAACAATCACAAAGTGCAATGATCTCCACTTTGATGACCTTTTTTCCAATAAGATTGTGATTCCCATAAGATATCAAATGTTAAAGTTTTAACACCATCTAAAAAGCACATCCTGACAAACATTTTGATAGGTAATAATTACAGAAATTAATTAATAATGTCATCTATCACAATTAAAGTCTTCATCAAACACTAAACGTCAACAATCCCGCCAAGGTTTTTTTTTCACATTTTTTTCTGTTGTAGGGACGCATCATGAATATTTGTTTCTTTATACTATGATATCGACTATTTAACAGTGAAATACTAGTAAAACTTTGGTGTTAATACATGCGGTAAATACATGCGGTAACACATGTATTAACATGTATTAATAACTGTTCAGTAAGACAATTATTTTCATTTCTCCACAAAATACCAACATTGACGGATCTTATTCCGTTGCTCTGAAGGCGATATTCTAACACAAGTGTATATGTAGCTTGATGTGCTCGTGACTAT